GGGATGGGTGTGTCAGAGGCAGTGCTGTTGGCGCAGGATAGAGCAGGGTTTAGGGCTGTTGTGCATAGGGTTGCTATGAGTCACAAACGACTCGACAGCACATAACAAGAACAATAACAACATAAAGGACAATGAAGACATATCAAGGAGGACCTAACCCTGTGGCGAAAGGTGAGTTTGTGGTGATGGAAGTGGTTAGAGAAAGATTCCTGAAAAAGCAGCACTAGAATGGATAGCTGAAGTGTGACAGAAGCTAACTATGAAAAAAGAGGACTAAAGAATGGAAGGAAAGTATGGTTCAGGTAGGGAGGTGAGCATTTTGGGCCAATGGATTGCTTTTAGGAGTTTTTCTCCCAAAATCACTGGGCTGAACTTTCAAATAAAGTACTCAAGTGTCTACCAAGGGAACTGGGCAGCTTGCATTATAATAATGTAAATAAAATGTATGGGACCCTTACAGGAGTAGAACCATGCAACTAAGGTATACAGAATTCCAATGAGGGGAATAGTTATGCCATCACCTAGGCTTAAAACAGGGATTTGTCCTGGTGGCACAGTGCATGTGTTAGGCTGTGAACCTAAAAGCTGGGGGTTCAAGTACATCATCTGCTCCATAGGAAAAAGATAGGTACATTCTTCCCATAAATTTACAATCTGAGAAATCCAATGGAGAGTTGTTATGTATTCGAGTTGAACTGATGACAGTGGGTGTTGATTTTAGGCTTAAAAGAGAGCAGAGGAATAATCTATCACAACAAAAGAAAAACAAAAAGTTGAGCATGCCATTAGGACTTAGGATCCGTGGACTAAGATACCACCTCAGGTCCAGGAGATAGAGACCTATAATACTAGAGACAGTACAAAATGGTAAAACACATAAATGGAGAAACAGTGGCAACAAACCCATGAGACTAGGGCAAGATAGTGCAGTGGGTTTCCTGGCCCACGGAATAAGAGTTAAAATGAGTCTGTGGTGACAAAGCTGAGTGCTTTCAGAACAAGAGTGTTGAGTGTATTCAGAACAGGCTTGCTGGAGGAGTGAGATGCCTCTGGGTACTTATCAGTGATGTGAAAGTGCTTTCTAACACTTGCCTAAGTAGGGCAGAGGCTGGTCAAACTAGGAGTTGAGACTGAGAGGTCAGTGAGAGGTATGTCTGTGGGCACAGTCAAGATCAACTACATCTTGAGTCATTCCTACTCCTGAATTCTAACTTGTTATTTTCCTAATGAACCCCATTATTATTGTGTGTGGGTTCTCTGTGGCCATTGCGACACATTACTAAACCTAACAGAGAATCAGAGAGACAGCTAGTTTAAGAATTTGTATAAAGATTTGAAGAGATGAGGTCCATCTTACTGCAGCTTTGCAGAAATCCCCTTGGGCTGTGGATGCTTACAATGGCTCTCTTTACTCCTCGTGAAGTTAGATAAGGAGGTAGGACAATGCTGCCACCAGGCCACTTTCACATGAAAATACAGTTCCTTACTAATTTCTAATGAGAACAAAGAAACAAGTTCAGTAATTTGAAGTTGGAAAGACAGGAAGGAATAGACTATGCAGGGTCCTGAGGGTCACTTTGAAGAGTTTGTTTTTATCTTAAGAGCAAGGAGGAGGTATGAAAGGGTTTTAAGGCAAAGCATGTCATAGTTGGAGCTACTTATACAGAGCAAGAATGGATGGAGAGAGATAAACAAATGGAAGCTATCCTCCAAAGCCCTGCAGAAACAGCATCTCACCTTTATAGACTTCCCCAAGTCCTGCTTCTTTGAGTCTAGCACTGTCTGTATCTCTTCAGCCTCTGTCTCCGTCACCACAGAGACTATTCCCCTTTGCACTTTCAGGACCTACACAGCAGCTGCCCCTCCCCGCCAAGTTGTTGAGGGATGGCTGAGGAAGCAGCCCAGAAAGAGTGAAGCCAGTTTCACCCAAATCCAATTCCCTAAAATTCTAAAAATTAGTCGCAGCTTGAAGGAAGTCACAGAGTTGGCAAGGAGAATGCCAGATGGTCGGAGCTTTCCTCTTCCTGGTAAATGAATTTTAATAAAATCAACATCTGCTCTGTGATAATTATTGCCCTATCTTTTCCTCTGAAGACTATCTGAGACAGCTTGAGTCTAATTAACAGAAACTGCAGACAGTTTCATCTCTACCTTTTGTTGAAGATAAAATATATAGGTAAACATTTTATAAATGAGACAAAATAATTCTGGTTTTCCTTTCCTTACAGACCATGTTGCTTTCCTGGGCTTGTCTCCAGGCTCCAAGACAGGTAGCAGCTTCATTGTGTCCTATGCCTAAAAAAGAAAAGAACTTTTAAAACATTTACTATTGTCTTTTCACTAAAAAAAGAACAAATCAAGTCATTCTTTTCCTTAACTTTTTTCTTGTGGAATATATTAGTTTCATCTGAGTAAATATAAACCTTTTAAATGAACTCTTATACTTGGGAGACAAATTCCTTTTCTTCACACAACTACAGAATATAAGTAAAGTTTTCTTTGTACCTATGATTTCATGCAGTAATTGCAAAAATCCAAATAAACTATCAGAGATCACAAGATGTTTGTGATCTTGAACCCTCAAATTATTTCCTTCTGTTCCTGGGCTCTGAAGGAATGAATTAAAGATGGATCACTTCAGGGAATCATCCTGAATCAATCTATCTAAAAGTCTCTAGAGAAGATTCTAGACTACTTTCCACTATCCTACAAGCCAAGAGAGTTGAGTCTTGTCAGATTATCAAGGTTTCTACCTCCAAAACGTACCAAACGGCCAAGCATAAACTGGAATTTAGTGAATGACAAATGAATAAAGACAAGGGATTAATGGACAGATGAATGAGTAAATCTAACCTGCAGCCTAGGCCGTTCCCAAAGGCCAGCTCTGAGGCTCTCCGGCGGAGGGAGATCCCCAGCTGCCAACTCCTTCCAGTACCATCAACCTCGTGGCAGTCCTGGGGGAGGGGGAGAGCGAGAGAAACTAGACAGGGTCAGGAGAACAAGGTGGCACCTTTTAGTCACTGTGCCTGGGCCAGAGGCGAGAAGTCCCTCCCGTAGGCTTCTCATTCAGACCAGGCCCATTGTCTTAAAGGGTCTGGCCACAAATGTGCCAAAACCCCGGCCCTGAAGCCTACCAGCCCCAAACAACCCTACCTGGGGCGGCAGAGGTTGGTCCCAGCGTGGCCCCGCCCCATGCAGGGGCGAAGTCGGCCCCCGCGCAGCGCCTCGCGGACCGGAAGCGCTCCCGGGCCAACCGCCTCTCTGCTCCCCTGCGCCACGCCCCCAGAGGAGGCGTGGCCTTTGGAGGAGGGGAAGGGGCGCTGGAGTCCCGGGTGACCCCTGGGCAAGTGCCTCACTAGCTAAGCAAGTAAATCTGGCTATCTCAAGAGTTCTCACTCCCCCGCGACGTAAATAAGCCAGGGCTACCTAGAAACCACTAACAAACGCAACGAGAGTAGTGGGGAGTCTGTTCGGGTGACCCAAATTATTCCAATAGCTGGAATATCCTAGAGAGAATTTGCTTTGTCTTCTCTGAAGGCAAGAATTAAGCAGTGCTCTCTCTTCCTAGGTGTGAAGGCGCTCTGAGTTAGGTAGTTCCTCTGCTAACAGAAAGGTCAGCTAGTAGCTGCTTCTCAGGAGAAAGATAGGATTCTACTCCTGTAAAGATTTACAGCTTCAGCGTACCTGAGTGTAATAACTAATAACTTTCCTCGTTCTGAAATAAGTAAGACCAGTATTAGGCTCAATTAAAACTTTGCACTTTAAAGAATGAATTAACATCACTAACGTATGTGGCTTCTTAGTACCAGACACTGTCTTATTGAACAGGTAAACATAGCCTCTGGCCTCCTGGAGGTTAAATTTCTAACTAGAAAATTTTTAACAAATACACACACACACACACACACACACACACACACACACATACACCCCAAGTGACTACAAACTGTTGTAAGAAGTGCAAGGAATAGACTTCATCACGGAAAGTATATTTTTGGAAACCAGTCTTGTCATTGTGTATTTCTTCTATCTTATTTTGATACTTTCCTGCATCATTCGCATGTTGCCGTGGTGGTAATTGCAGTTGTTACGTGCCATATGGTCAAATATGACTCACAGCAACTATTTAAAAAACAGACCTGAATCCTGAGCCATCCTCATCATCTCTGACATACTTGAGCCCATTGCTGCAGTCACTCAATCGATCTATCTAGTTGAGGGTCTTCCTTTCCTTTGCTGAACCTCCACCTGTCCAAGCAGATGGCCCTTTCTAATGAACAGTCCCTGCTAACAACATGTCCAAAGTATTTGAAACAAAGCTTCATCATTCTTACACTTTCTCAAAGAAATATGTTTGTTCTTTTGGCAGTCCATGGTATATTCAGAACTTTTCTCCACCACCACAACTCAAAGACATCTATTCTTCTGCCATTCTTATTCACTGTCCAACTTCCAAGTGTATAGCAAGTAATTGAAAAGACCATGGCTTGAATCAAGTGAACCTTAGGCTTTTAGTCAACATTGTTACTCTCTAGTACTTTAGACCAAACGGTTGCTAGGAGTTGTCTATGGCACTTACCAACACAGAGCTCAGCTGGCCTAGTGGATAGAAAGTTATGTTATCAAGCCAAAGGTGGGTGATTTTAGTCTGCAGCCCTCAGGCCTGGTTTTAATTGTTTTGGGTCAAACATTCTTCTAAGTGGTATAGCACTGGTCTGTGCATTGCTGAACAGAGGTACCTCGTGGTTGCTGTCATGCTAAACACTGTGATACTGATGTGCCAAATGCGAAAATGGTTACGCATGGTGGACAGTGTTTGGTGGAGCTCTCTGATTAAAACAAGCTTGGAAGCAGGAGTGGCATCCACTTCCAAAATAGCTTGCCTCTGGAAACTTCTATGAACTTGAAGAAATGATGAAAGTTATACAAGTGTTCGGGTCTTGGCAAGCTCTGGTGGCCTAGTGGCAAGAAGCTACACTAAAACCCCAGAGGTGAGTGGTGTGAATCCACCAAATGCTCTGTTGGAGAGGAGGGACAATTTCCTCTTGTACCAGTCAGATCCTATTTGACAGTACAAACTAAAAAAATAATGAAAATTTAAAACAAAACACCAAAAAACCAGATGTTTGGGTCTTTCATTCATAGGGTCACTATGAGTCATCAACAACTCGATGGTATTTCACAAAAACAACAGCACTTTAGAGAAGTCATTGACAGCAGATTTCCTAAATGCAACACATCTTTTGATTTCTTGGCTGCTTCTCCTGATTATAGATCCAAGTAAGATGAAATAATTGACAATTTCAATCTTTTATCTATCATAATGTTATCTATTAGCCCATTGATGAGAATTTTTGTTTTCTTTTTATTTTTTTTATATAGAACAGAGAGTGTGAAAAACAGGGGGCCAACAGTTCCCATGACTAAAGGCCTCAAGCCATGCTTCTCTGAGTATTTATATAGAATCATAAGGAAGGTTGTTGTGTTGTTGTTATATGCCGTCGAGTCACTTGCCACACATAGCGACCCTATGTACAACAGCCCTAAACTCTGCTCTGTCCTGTGCCAATCGTACTATCTCTGACACTCCCATCCCGATTATCCCAGTCACTGAATCAATCCACCTCATTGGGGGCCTTCCGCTCCTGCGCTGTCCCTCCACCCTCTCAAGCATGATGTCCTTCTCCAAGGACCGGTCTCTCCTCACAATATGTCCAAAGTATGTTAGACAGAGCCTCAGAATCTTTGCCTCCAAGGAGCCACCTGGTTTAACCCTTTCCACGACAAATCTGTTTGTTTTCCTAGCAGTCCATGGTATTCTCCATACTCTTCTCCAGCACCGCAGCTCAAAGGCATCAATTCTCCTTCTATCCTCCTTGGTCATTGTCCAACTCTCTGATGCATAACAAGTGCTTGAGAAGACCATGGTCTATATCAGACACACCTTAGTCTCCAGATAGACATCATTGCTCTTCAGTGCCTTGGAGAGGGCCCTAACAGCAGACTTTCCCATGGCAATGCGCCTTTTAATTTCCTGGCTGCTGGTGCCAAGACTGTTGACTACAGAGCCAAGCAAACTAAAGCTGTGTACAATCTCAATCCCTTCACCATCTATCCTGATGCTGCCAATTAGTCCATTGGTGAGAATCTTTGTCTTCGTGACATTGAGACTCAATCCATATTGGAGGCTGAAGTCCTTGACCCTCTGTAGCAGGTGCTTCAGGTCTTCCTCAGTTTTAGTGAGCAGGGTTGTGTCATCTGCATAACGCAGATGGTTGATAAATAGTCCACCAATCTTGACCCCACATTTCTCCTCATACAGCCCAGCCTCCTGGATAATCGGTTCTTCATACAGGTTGAAAAGGTATGGAGATAGGATGCATCCCTGTAGTACGCCCTTCGCAATTTTGAACCATGCAGTGTTCCCTTGCTCTGTTCTGACGACTGCCTCCTGGTCCAAGTATAGATTTCGCATTAGAATGATCAAGTGCTCTGGGATTCCCATTCTTCTCAGAGTCAACCATAGTTTGTTATGATCTGCACAGTCAAATGCCTTTGCACAGTCAATGAAATATAGATAGACATTCCTATGGTATTCCCTGCTTTCAGCTAAGATCCAACTATCATCA